CCTATGTTTGAACTGCTTAAGCGATAAGCATTTAGTTGCAAAATGCAATTCGAGTTCCGTATGTAGCAAGTGCGCCAGGAAACATCACACGCTATTACATTTTGAAAATAGCAACATAGCGGCGTCAAGTAAGGCGAATAAGGAATTCACCCCTACTAAGGTCAACGATTCTAGCGGTCGACCTGGTGATGTCGCTCTGTGCTCATTGGCAAATATGGGAGCACAACCTCCTTCAACCGTGTTACTGGGTACGGCGCGTATTTTGGTTAGGGATTCGCGTGGAAACAAACAAAGCGTCCGTGCACTGCTGGACAGCGGAGCCCAAAATAGCTTTATAACACGACAATTTTGTCAGCGCTTAGGCTTAGTAATAAATAGGTCACTTTCATGTCCTGTAGTTAAAGGCATCGGAGGTACTAGTAAAGCGACACAGGGATATATAAATTTAAAATTTTATTCTCGGATAGATCGTAACGTTAACTTTGATATAAATGCACTAGTAGTAGATAGGGTCACTGAACGGTTGCCAACCGTTTCGGTTGACACCTCGGCAATGATTGAATTTAAAAATTTGACTCTAGCAGACGACACTTACGCCGTTCCTGGAAACATAGACATGCTCATTGGGGCATCGCTTTTCCCTCATCTTTTGTTAAACAATAAGGTCAGGGGCAACTCCTCGCATACCGCGCCTTACGCACTGGAAACCGTATTGGGCTATGTGATCCTTGGCTCCGCCCCCATCCTAGATAGTATTTCGGCAGCCTCTTATTGTGGTATGGCTGTCGAACCGCTCGAGTCGTTAGTCCGCAAATTTTGGGAGATGGAGGAGGTGAACGTCCCACCCATAGCTAGTTCAGCTGACAGGATATGCGAGGAAATTTACATCCGCACGACCGTTCGTGATCGCGACGGTAGATATAGTGTAGCGCTACCCTTTAAGGGAGATGTTTTATCTCTCGGCGATTCGCGTCAAATGGCGGAAAAACGTTTCTACAGCTTGGAGCGTAGGATGCTCGCTTCGCCCCAGTTAAAGGAAGCTTACGACGGCGTCATTAACGAATATATAAGAGAAGGTTACATATCACTTGTGGCTTCGAAATTAGATAACTACGAAGACACACCGTCGTATTTTATACCACACCACGGAGTCATTAGAGAGGACAAACTTACATCTAAATTACGTGTAGTGCTCGACGCTAGTGCTAAAACTAGCACTCCCCTATCGCTTAACGATATCCTCTATAGTGGACAAAATTTACAGGGCAGTTTATTTGATATAATAGTCAATTTTCGTTTGTTTAGTATAGCACTATCCGCCGATATTCGCCAAATGTTTCTTTGCATAGGGGTCCGTGAATGCGACCGTAGATTCCAGCGCATTTTATATCGTTTCAACCCAAAGGAACCTCTAATGGTGTTTGAATTTAACCGCGTTTGTTTTGGTTTAAAGTCGAGCCCATTTCATGCGTTACGCACGGTGAGACAGCTCGCTCACGATGAAGGTCCCTCTTATCCTAAAGCTAAGAGGGCAATTGAGAGCGGATTATATATGGATGATTTTGTGTATTCGGTCGATAGCGTGGAGGAGGCCACCCTAACCACCGCCGAGGTTATAAGGCTCATGAAATCGGGTCAATTCGATCTTGTGAAGTGGACTAGTAATTCGCGTCCGGTTTTAGATACAATCCCACTATCACACCGTCTTTCGGCGATAAAGGAATTCGACGATTCCGATACACACAAGGTGCTCGGTCTGTGTTGGTCACCAGAGTCCGACGTGTTTAGCCTTAAGGTAAATCCGCCCGTAGAGAAATGCACAAAGCGCACAATACTGTCATGCGTTGCTAGATTATGGGACGTCATGGGTTTCGTAGCTCCGGTGGTATTATACGCTAAGCTTTTGATTAAACAACTTTGGTTATTTGAATGCGATTGGGATGACTCGCCGCCTGACAGCATTGTTCGATTGTGGCAGCGCTTTAGAGAGGAACTTCCTTTACTAAGAGAAATTAAAATACCGCGTCATATAAATGTCGATAGAAATAGCAGCATAACGGTTGTTGGATTTGCAGACGCCAGCGAGAAGGCTTACGGGGGCGTTGTATATTTCCATGTCCAGAATAATGGTAGAAATTCGATTAGCCTCATTAGTTCTAAGTCGAGAGTCTCCCCCCGTAAGGTTGTCTCTCTGGCGCGCTTAGAGCTTTGCGCAATATTAGTACTCACCAAGCTTATTACCACAGTTATCGGCGCATGTAGGGATAGAGTTCACATAGAAAGAATATTTGCCTTTTCCGACTCCACCGTCGCCCTATGTTGGGTTCATTCTTCACCCCACCGTTGGGATACGTTTGTCGCGAACCGAGTGGCCAAGATCCAAGACGAGTTAGAAACGCGGAACTTTTATCACGTGTCCGGTAAGGAAAACCCTGCCGATTGTCTATCCCGGGGACTCACCCCGATGCAAATAATGGACCACCCGCTTTGGTTCCATGGACCTTCTTGGGTTCACTTGGATCCCCCACAATGGCCAATAACCGATTTCAAACCTTCGTCAGTGTCACAACCGCCGGAAGAGAAGAGACACGCTCTAGTGGCGAACGTTTCGAGCGAGGTTTCTCCAATCATTGCTCTGGCGAACCGCTTGTCCTCTTGGTCGAAATTATTGCGTAGCGTAATTTACGTTTGTCGATTCGCGAAGCTTTTACCGCGACGTCCGTATGTCTTAGCATCCGATTACAACTATGCCGAGTCGCTAGTATTACGTGAACTTCAACGTGCGCACTTCTCTGAAGAAATTACAAGATTACAATCGAATAGAGCTTGTAGTCGCGCCTTTCAACGCCTTAAGCCATTTTTACAGGATGGGATTGTAAGGGTAGGTGGACGCTTGTCCAACTCGCAATTGAGTTTCGACCAACGGCACCCTATAGTTTTACCGCGTAAAGACCATATCATGAACTTATTAGTCGATTATCATCATAAATTGAACTCGCACGCTGGCCCCGATTTATTGATGTCGATCTTGCGCCAGAATTATTGGATTCTTTCTGCACGTAGTTTAATACGCAATCGGGTGCACAGATGTATAGCTTGCTTTCGGGCACGCCCCAAGCCGTCATTTCCGGAAATGGCGGAACTTAGATCTTGTAGAGTGATACAATCGGTAAAGCCCTTCACGCACACCGGGTCTGATTTTGCTGGTCCGTTTAAGATCACGCTCACTCGCGGGCGTGGTATAAGATCCACAAAGGCTTACGTCTGCATTTTCGTATGTCTAACTACTCGAGCAGTGCATATAGAACTCGTTGGGGATCTAAGCACAGCAGGCTTTATGGGTGCATTTAAAAGATTTCTATCGCGCAGAGGCCCTGTAAGTAAATTACGAGTATATTCGGATAACGGTACGAACTACGTCGGTGCAAAACGTATTCTATCGGAACTACACGAGCTCTTAGCTAGCAAGTATTATAATTCGGAGTTCGCTCACATTCTAGCCGAGAACCGCATTGAGTGGTCTCTGAACGTCCCAGCCGCGAGTCATTTTGGGGGCAATTGGGAGACTAATATTAAAAGTCTAAAGAGCCACTTATACCGAGTAATAGGAGATCAAATTTTGTCCTTCGAAGAGCTAAGTACGGTGCTCGCTCAAATTGAATGCGTAATGAATAGCCGCCCACTTTGTCGGACGTTATCTAGTGACCCCTCGGAACCGCTGGCTCTAACTCCAGCACATTTTTTGACTTTAACGCCTCTAAGGTATCTGCCCGCCGCGGATATGGATGAGAACAGACTTAGCATTTCCACACGCCACAAATTATTAGATCGGTTAGTGCAATCGTTTTGGAAACGATGGAGGATGGAATACTTGCATACTTTGCAGTCTCGGCAAAAATGGAACACAGCGACAGAGCCTTTAGCTGTAGGAACCGTAGTTGTGCTCACTAAGGAGAATACGCCGCCTCTCCACTGGCCGTTAGGAATCGTCGAGGAGGTCTTTCCCGGTTCCGACGGAGTAATTAGGATAGCTCGCGTTAAGACCACGGTTGGGTCTTACCTACGTCCGGTTATCCGTTTGTGCCCCTTGCCTCTTCCATAATTTAAATTAGCTTTCTAGACTGAAATTGTAGTTTAATTTAGGTAATCTTAGCGTTAGTTAGTTATTTGTTAGTCGATCTTAGCTCTAGTTGTTTAGTTATTTTTTTTGAAGGGGAAATCCTTCAAGGGCGGGGGGAGATGGTTGCGCGGAAAACCATTCGCGTTTTTTTTTATTTTTGACGGTAGAAACTTGTCGAATCATTATTCCCTTCCGAAACAATATCATTCGTACCCTCCTATCGACACATCGGGGTGGTGGGGTGGGAGGGGAAAGAAGACGATTCTAGAACATCGCGTAATCATCGGACCCGAGGATATATAAGACACGCGCGACCGACGCGAGCTCTCTTCTCCCGCCGCAGTCGTCGTTGAACTACAACGCTCCTCTCCTGACGCGCGTACCACTGGAGCCCCAGAACCCGAGTGTCTGTCCAGCGGAGTGTTCCGGAAGTCGCCGCCATAGTGATCGACAGGAAGAAGAAACCCCGGTGAGTCAATACTCCTTAATTATACCTGCTTGCTAATAGTTTAACCCGCTCCAATCTGTGTTTTTTTTTCCTAATCAAGCAGGATTCCTTTCATCGATTCGACAAGTAATAGTTTAGTTTAGGGAAGAGCGAGTGCATTGTACCGCATGCTATAGTAGTCGCTTTTAACGTAAGCGTAGAATCAATCGCATATACAGTCCACTTTAGTTAATATCTCGCGTAATAGGTTTGAGGTTTGACCGGGGAACTAGATTCTCGGCAGCCTTAAACACGTGGCTCCACCAAATCTCTTCCTTCAAAAACTGTTATTTCTACTAGTGCAAATGGTAAATAAACACTGAGTACGTTAAAATTTTTGTTGGTTTTAATAATAAGTTCGTCGAGTTCTAACATTTCTTTGCTAAATTACAGAGATATTTTCTACAGGACAAAACCAAGACTTCAGCAACATTATTTCAAACATTGATACTGCTTGCTCTAGTCAACGTAAGTCGGTTTTTCTACATTACTTAGGTTTATTTGCAAGGTTATATATACTCTTGCGATTGTACACTGTTGTAGTTGCATTCGGATTAACTATTTTATTTAAATTATTGTTTGTTTATTTTAGCATCGATTGTGACAGAAAATGTTATTTCTTCTCTAAATAAGGCGGATCCGTCACCGATCCTCCTAGAAAACCACGAAAACGACAGTGAAGACGAAACTAAAGACTTTTCTCCAGACGATAGTGGTGATGAATATAAGCCAGAGAAATCTATACAACGCAACCTTATTAACTCAACGTCATCTAGCTCATCTTCGAGCTCTTCATTCTCAACTTCATCGTCTAGTGCATCCGGTTCTACTTCTAGCTCACCATCAACATCGATTACTCATGATTCTGTCAGAAATTCAAATTTTTTAGATACCAGCCAAGATTTAGCGCTACCATCCGAGACTACAGTTGCCAAGAGAGGCAAGAAGAGAGTGCGTAATGAATCTGCATGGATAAAAAATGTACGAAAACGTCAGCGAAATTCTGGAAAACAATATGTATCTAGAACTGGCAAAACTGTTGCAGCAAAATCTATTAAACCACCTTGCACAGAAAAATGTAGACTCAAATGTCGTAATAAAATAACGAAAAAACAAAGAGAGGAGATATTTGAATGTTATTGGGGCTTGGGATCACTACAAAGACAGCGTGATTTTTTGAACTCCTGTTTAACAACTTTGAAAGTTCCCTACCGTCGACTAAAAGAAGGAGCTGCCAAAACTAGGAACCAAAATTGTGTTTTTAATTTCACGGTGAATGGTGAAACTAAGCGGACGTGCAAAACTTTTTTTAAATACTTTGGGTGTATCAGAGAGAACATTGCGAACGGTTATTGAAGATAAAACAGTTCTGGTACGGGTGTGATCCCTGAGGACAAGCGTGGCAAGCATGCTCATCATAATAAAGTAAACCCAGAAATCATGCAATCCGTTCGCGATCACATTAATTCCGTCCCTAGAATTGAAAGCCACTATACTCGGGCTAACATAACTCGTGAATTTATTGATGGTGATCTTACCGTTAAAGAGCTGCATCGAAATTACGTATTTAGTACGGGAACGATGCCATCGGCAACTTTTGACACGTATTACCGAATTATCAACACTGAATTTAACTTATCATTTTTTGTACCCAAAAAAGATCAGTGTGATCTCTGCGAGTCTTATAAAAATGCTGTCGGGGAAGACCAACTCAAATTAAAAGAAGCTTGTGAAGAGCATTTAAAACAAAAATATTTAAGTAAGAAAGAGAAAACTAAGGATATTGAGTTAGTAAAAGAAGATTGTAACAATATCGTTGCAATATACGATTTACAGGCAGTTATGCCTGTATCTATCCGTTATAGTTCAGCGTTTTTTACAAATCAAAGTTGAATTGCCTAAACTTTACGGTAAGTATTTTACTTCCTTTGGATTCATGCGTATGTAGCTTAAAAAACTAATATTAAATTTTTTGATAGGTTACAAATATAAAAGATATCGTAACAAATTGCTATTTCTGGCACGAGGATCTTGGCAATAGAGGAGCTATAGAATTGGGGTATGTTCAAATTTCTGACAGAGACTGCAGAGCGTCATGCCAATAGCAATATAATATTTAATTCTGACAACTGCTGTGGTCAGCAAAAAAATAGGTACATTTATAGTAATTATTTTCTCACAAAACAGAATTAAAATTAACCATTTTTTCTGTATTTAAGTTATATTTTACTTTTTCAGATTCCTGCTTGGCATGTATTACTATGCGGTTGAAACTCTTCCAATAAATTCATTAACACATAAATTTTTGATACACTCAAAATGAGGGTGACAATGCTCATTCGCTCATCGAAAAGTCAATTAAAAGAGCAAAAAAAGTCTGGTCCTATCTATATTCCATACCAGTACGTGCAACTTATACGCAACACCAAGAAAACTGGAAATGCTTTTGTAGTAAACGAGCTTAACTATGACGATTTTTAATATTAAAAAAGCTATTTGAAGATATTACACTAAATGTTAACAAAGATCTGCAAGGTAACCAGATAAAACTATCTGAAATAAAATCTATACGATTTGTTAAAAATAGTGAGACTTACGATTTAAAATATTCTTACGAGGGTCAATGGATAACTGTAAAAACAAAAACATCTACTTATACTCGAAAAACTCGATCCGATAATAATTTAAATATTAATGAAATACGTTTGAAAACAGATTACAATTCAAAACTTACGATTACTGATCAAAAAAAGCAGGATTTGCGTACTTTGTTAGAAAAAAACATTGTTCCCAGATGCTATTCTGGATTTTAGGAGAGTTTGTTTTAAGTTGCCTGAGTAGGTACAATTTTTTTACTGTTTTTATTAAGTTTTAATTTTTTATGTAAGTAGCGTGACTAATGAAATGAACGTAAGATTGAAATGTTTAATTCTAACGTTCTATTGATCTTTTAAGACTGACTTTTAAGAATAACTTTTAAATGTGCAGCTGATTTTTGTGTGCCATATTAGATAGCAGTTATTAAAAGGGTTAAAAAACTAATTTTATATACCTACTATATTATTTAATTTCGTATTGAGTAGTTCCTATTAAAGTGTAATTAAGATGAAGGTCATCTACAAATGATTCATACTATGAGGCATAACTATGTCATCACTGATTGCCGTTGTTAATTTTTATTTAAATAATACAAAATGTGTTGATTGAACGATATTAGTTTTATTTTATGAGACAACAAAGGTCATAACTACCCGAGCTTTCTTTGCCTAGGGTAACAACGACGCAACTGTAAGTGTTAAAATGTTTTTTTTTATTTATTTCACATTCTTTTGGATAAGAATATAAAAAATAAATGTGTCTGTTTTCAAGCCCAGAGTTCAAACTACAATAATAAAATAGATAAAGAGTCAGTAACTGTAAGAAAAGTAAAGAATCTTCAATGGTGTTACGAAAATATCTTTAAACTGGCGTCGTGTAAATTTTACAAATTTGCAGTTATGTCACTGTCGCTCCAAATGAGCGATGTGTTAATAATAGAACTATAAATTTATGGGGCGTTCAATAAAAAGTTAGGATGCGTATTTAAATAAAACCAGTTTGAACCGATTTTATCGCGTATATTAACTTGTTTATATTCCTGACGTTTCGAGCAGTTTACAACTGGAACGTCGGGAATATAAAAAAGTGCACCCATTTTCATAGAGAGAGGCAGAGGTGGTCAAAGTTTCTATGGCATAGTTAACAGCGGTTACGCACGGATTAAAATTATTAATTTTTGTGCCGATCTACATGGTATGAACATATATTATCTTTAAGTCTTGCAGTTGTATGCTTGGGTTTGAATTTAATTTTATAAAATATAAGATCCCAAGCAGATGGCAGCACCCAGCCATCTTCTCTATTGAAGTTGGGATTTTTTTTTAATATCCTCGCAAATTATCCTTAGAAAGAATCGGTATTCCTTAGCGAAGATTTGTGGTCTATCAAATCAGATGTAGTGACAGCGGCGATCCTGTACGTGTTCTCAGACTGCAGACTTCCTGGAGCGTAGATTCTTCACATCAGCTTTATGTTTAACGCGGTTTCTAATCGATGCTTTAGTTTTTCCTATGTAAGAGAGACCACATTACATTCAAGCTCGTACACTCCTGCATCTTGCAGAGGGACACTATGGGTCTTTTTTCTATACACAGTGTGGCCCAAAATGTTATCAGGATTCCGAATTGTTAACACATCTAGAAAAGCTAGAGAACTGTTTGCCTCTAACTCCATTATGAACTGAATTTTAGAATTTATGAAGTTAAGATGGTCTAGGTATGCAGTTATTTTATTTAAAGGTAGAATTGTGAAAATGTCGTCTACGTACCGCATGTATAATTTGCAATTTACGAGATAAGTAAGCTTTTTCCTCATAGTCTTCCATGAATATGTCGGCAGCAATGGGAGATGCAGGTGAGCCTATCGCCACACCATCCACTTACTTGCAGAACTCCACTTTCCACAATAGGTAGCCAGATTTAAGGTAATGTCTGAGTAATACTGCATATTCTACGGGCATGTTGTTTTCTTCCAGCCTTACAATTACAATTTAGATGCAGTCTTCAACATGTTAGCATGTGAACAATGACTGCACATCCAAACTGACCATCGTTTCATTGTCTGCTAAATGATAGAATTTCACTGAGAAATTGGTAGGAATCCTTTATATGAGCTTTTGTATGTCCCTTGAGCGGTGAGAGTAGTTTCATTAAGTGTTAAGCTAATCTGTAAGTTGTAGTTGTAAGGTGAATCGATTTGACTCACTATGGAACGTATTGAAACTATAATATAGCTTTGATTGCATATTGCGGCGAGTACTTAGCCCTGAGCTTCCGCGGACCTAAGAACTAATAGTTATTAACTATATTATGTACTCGTAAAACTTAATATTATACACAAGCTTTAGCCTAAATATTTAAAGATCTATATCGCAGTTTAATATATAAATTGTTCTGGGAAAAAATTAAACACACTGTATGGTGGTTACAAAATACAAAAAATACGTTCTAAGTTCAATCATTTGTCAATAGCAAAAGAAGTTTTAATATTTTATTTCTTTTAATTAAACATATTAAGCCTTAAATGTTTTTCATATTTTAGCATTGATTGAATTTACGTTTAAAATCGTATAATTAAAAAATAAACGTACTTATACAACGAACCATTTAAAAATCAATAAAATACATTCGAAACGAGAGTATTTTGAGTGTACTGCAAACTAAAAACTGACCGTTGTGACATTTCTATGCAGTAGTAAGCCGGTATTTAAATAATATTCCACGTTTTGGTAAATGGAAATGTACCCGAAGATGGTTAAGCGCACTAACCAATCTTCAAAAAAGCGTATTCATGATTTTCAGTTTTAATTAAAACAAGATTGATGGTTAAAACAGTAATTTAAAAAAAAACGACTACGTTGAAAACTTTACAGAAAAAACCTTTTTGTAAATGATTAAATAAATATTATTTAGCTAAAGGCTTTATAGTATTTATGTATTGCTGTAGGCTATATATTATTATATCACTTCAACAATTTAATTCAAATTAATAAAAATAATCACCCAATCGATCCATCTATGACAACGCAGTGGCAGCTTATTGATGCCCTTCTTGAAGAAATCAACTGGACGGGTGGCAACAAATTCTTTGAAGGCATTTTGTACTGCCTCTCGGTTATAGATTTTTTCCGACAAAAAGTTATCTAAATTCAGGAAAAAATAGAAGTCTGCCGCCCCAAGGTTTGGTGAGTACGGCAGATGACGGAGAGTTTCCAACCCCAGCTCTTGAAACTTGGAGACCGTCTCTTGTGCAGTACGAGGTCGCACGTTGTTGTGAAGGAGCACCGGGGACGAGCGATTTACTGAAGCTAGTTGGAGACGTGAGCGAGCTTCTCCATCATTGTGTTTAGTTATTCACAGCTGTGATGAATCACACCAGCGCTAGATCAATAAACATAATTTTTCTAGGGGTAAGTTTTCTTTCAGGTCATTGTTTAGGTGCTAAACCAGAACACAACCAACTTGTTGAGCACTTGCGATCGCCAAAAAGAATCCATTTTTTGTTGCTGCCGGGCTATCATGGGCAGGAGACAATATATCTACGGGGAGAGAATAAAATTCGTATTCCTTGCTCAGTTTTATCCACCCTGTGAGCATGGGCAGGAGACAAAAATTTATTCTTTTTAATATCCACTGAAAAGAGATAAAATTATCTTAACCCTATGCCAGAGTATGGTAACAGGGGAAAGGAGAAGTATATCCCCGTTTGACATAACGAGTAGACATATAAACCCCGTCCGTAGCATGGGGCCAAACGAAAGAAAAAAATTATCCTTTTTTGACATTTTAAAGAGACAATTTTATCCTCGTTCATCGGTGTGAGTTTAAGTTTATCTCCAAAACATTTTAATACAAAAAAAGATGTCTTCAGTCTACAGCAACCACGTTTTCGTATCAGAAATTGAAGAACAAGAAAGAACGTTACATCGGCGTTCGATACGTGATCAGAGAACTTAATCCATTGGGATTCCCCGACAACGAATTTCTAGGCCGGTTTCGGATGCTCAAAGATTGTATTTTGTATTTATGTTAAGAACTCTACGAGGCTTTAAAGCCTATTAATTCCCCAGTGCATCTTAAAGTAAGCATCTATTACCTTGTGCAAAAACATCGCATATTTGCAATCGATACATGTGCCTACCTTATCTTAATATTTTTTTCTAGGTAGGTAGGTACTTTACATCTTTCAGTCTTTCGGCAGATGGTAGTTACTAGAGATGTACGAGTGAAGACCATGGAATGGCTGTTTTTCAAACAACAAATAATCAGCAAATACTTGACCCAAGTTATTTGGGGGCCATCACTAGAATGTATGGAACAATATAATTTAAATTATCCTCTTGTGTAGGTATATACAAGTTTCAGTGCATCTACTACTTTCATTTTATTTTTGACTAATACTGAAGTGAATATCATTTCCAGGCGTATAAAAAGAAAAGCAAATTGTAGCTAGAGGGTAACTAGCAGAGCATGGTCCTCCAGATATTTCTAGGGTTATTGATTGCACC